ATTTTTTTTGTTAAAAATGCCAAAGAGGAGATGCACGTTCACTGTATCTTTACAGTCTTAATTTACTTTCCTAAAAAATTGTGAAGTAATTGGAAAATTTTTTTGTACGGTGTGCAAGGCAATATTTTCAATCGAACATGGAGGACGCTCAGATATCAAACAGCATATGGAAAAGAAAAAACATACGTCGGCTTTATCTGGTGCTTCAAAAAGTAACAAAGTAACCTCATATTTTATTAAACAAGGACCAGCTGGCTTAACTAGTGAAGGATTAAAAATTACAGCAGAAGAGGGAATGTTTGCATTTCATACTATAGTACATAACCATTCTTTTAAGTCAATGGATTGTACTACTGCTTTAATAAAAAAGTTTTCTTGTGCGCGTACCAAGTGTAAATCAATTATTCTGAATGTATTGGCTCCTTTTGCAATGGATCAAATAATAGACGAACTAAAAGCTGTTAATTTTGCGACGGTTATGATTGGCACTTCAAATCATAAGAATTTAAAAATTGTCCCAATACTTATTCGATATTTCAATCCTAAAACGGGAGTTCAAATAAAAGTTCTAGAATTCACAAATTTGAAAGGAGAAACTTCGGATATGTTGTCGTCATATATTATGAAAATTTTAACAAAACATAAAGTGTAAAGACAAGATGGCTATTCTTACAACCAGCAGTCTCCAGAATTATTGAAATGTATCCAGCTTTAAAATTATACTTTGACACTCAGGATAAATGCCCAACCCTTTTAAAATCATTTTTAAGTGACCCCGTTGCAATAATATGGTTTCATTTTATACAAAGGCAATTAAAAATTGTTTGTGACACTATAAAAAGAATAGAAGGGGACAACATATCTGCATGTGAAGTATCAGAAGAACTAGAAGCATTATGTGGAAAAATAAAAAATAGAAAAACACAAAACTTTTTAACTTCCGGTGTAAACTCGATGATTTTAGAACTAGAGACAAAAAATAAATACACAAAAAAACAATTTATTGAGCAAACTAACCAGTTTTATAACACATTTTTATTGTATATAGAAAAGTGGGGAAATTAATTTGAAGAACTAAAAATATTTTGTTTGACACAATTGATAAATTGTCAAACATGGAATGATATTCAAAAAAGTTTAACATTTATTTTACAAAATAATAAACAAACCGGTTGGAATGTGGATGAAGATATTTTTTTTGATGAATATAATCATGTAGTTATTAATATTTTCAAAACGTTGGGTACTAAACATTAAAACAAGTTAATTTTAGATAATTTTATACTATGAAGTTAATAAGATCTGAATAGAATTATCGCTACCTGAAATGGAAATTGAATTTTCTCAGAAACTGTTCGGTTACAAATTATTTGATGTCATTTTCAATTAGTTACTAAATTTCGGGATTGGTCCCGAGTCATTAGGACAAAGTCGGGGGGGGGGGAGCTGCATGAAGTTAGCCCCCTGAAATTAAAATTGAGATTTCTCGAAAACAGTTTGGTTATACATTTTTTGATGGTGATTACAAATAGTTATTAAAAGGTTACTAAATTTTGGAATTGGTCCGATGTTGATTGGATATAGTCGGGGGTTGACTTCATGAACGTCTAATTTTGTATTGATTGATTATATTTGATATGTTAAGGTGTCTTTTTTGCTGGCTGACTTTCCAATTTTAGTTCTTTGATTAACCTGAAAATTAAATTACAAATTGGATAAAATTGTTGTAAATAAATAAATTATTTTTATAATATTCTATTACTTTTCAACTTCAGTTTTTGTAGCTGCATCCGTTGTTTTCTTCATTACATTTTGCAGAGCACCAATCACATAAACTAAATTAAATTTACCACATAATTTATTATTATTGAGTATATAAAGTTATAATGAGTTATCTTTTAGACATATTAGTTTATTTATAAATTTGATTACTTTTAGATGAATTTTTTTTAATGGGACACTTATCTGACTTTGCTTTTCTTTTCGCCAATGAATGTAAATCATTTATATTCTTCGGTTCACCGGTGACCGGATCTAACACAATATCTATTGTATCTAATTTTTTCATGATATCTTCTTCGTTGTATGACTTATAACCACTCAAGAGAGCGTTTTTAACTCCAGAACCTGTAAATAAATTAAAATGTAATTTCGAATAATAATATTTTTATTATTTTATAACATAAAATATTAATAAAATAAAATCTAATACTGGGGGTCGGTGCGATTACTATTATAGGTGGGATACATAAAGTTAGATAATTTATACCTGTAACCAACGATAAACTATTGATAATGAAAACGATTCGGAGCCAAGTTCGGTTATACATGTTTTGAAAGGTTACGATATAATATAATATAATATTTACGATTTTCATCAAAATTTGATTTAAAACTCTTATACATATATATATATATATTTTAAAAAAAAAACTACATTACACTCAATTTTATTGTTTAAAACAAAATGCATTTAAATAAATAAATATATGATTGTGTGGCCTGAAGTATCATGGTATGTGTATTATATAGGTACCACTAGTTTCAAATTAAAAATTCATCATCATGTAAAATCACAAAATCAAAAAGTAAAACGCTACTGAGTATAAAAAAATAAATGAAGGAATACATAAAAAAAATAGTTATATAAATTGATCGTTTTACATATGAATATATTTTTTTCCCTATTACCTTCCCGACGTGGTTTTGCAAAAAAAAAAATTGGGGTTTAAACTTACGTTCTCTAGGAAGACAACAAGTATGTAACACCACTAGACTACGACAGATATAAAGTCATTGTTGATTTATTTAACGTAGCACATATTATAATATTCGCATGACAACAAAACTTTCTAAAAACTATAATTTTTAAAATAAATCAGTCCGCTCAATTCTGACTTTACCGTCGTTCTTAAATCGGCATTATAAATATTATGGTCCCAACAAAAATTGAAAAATTTGTATGGACCAGAAACTAGATCTGTTCCACATAATTGTTTACCCTACAATTTACATCAAACATTGATTCATTTGTTTCGGTTTTGCTTAATTTATAAATAAACTACAAAATAAATCAAAAATCCACCCCTTTGGTCATCAACTAGACTGATAATGCAACAAAAAAAGTCAATTGTCGTTTTATCTGTTATACTTATGGTTATAGAACTTATGGTAGAAAACATAAAGCCGTAAAAATTTGTTGATTTTATAGAATTTATCCCTAATAGTAATGTTATAAAAAAAAAAAAACAACAGAATTTGATTATCTTTATTATCTCCGGAGATATTAAATGGGTTTACATCTACCAGATAAAAATATTAATTTAAATAGTTTAAATAAATAAATTTTTCATGTAGAGGTACTTACTTATTGAACTTTTTTCATTTACATCTTTTTCGGCAATTTCGACTTCGCTTTTTTTCTTTTCCTTTAGTACTTTGCCCACCATGGCATATAACGTTATCAGTTGATTTTCTAAGTCACTGACAATTTTACCTATACTTTCCGGATAACCATTATCCACTTTCATACATTGCATGAACTGTAATGCCCATTGCAATTGATTAATGCCTGAAAAATGTATAACATAATTTGAATGTGTTTAAAGATCACAAAAAAGAATTTTACCAATTCTTAAAGATGTTTTTTTGTAATACACAACCCATAATACTGTGATCAGATTATCAAATAATGTGGCAAACGGTTGTTGAAGAGCAAATGCTTGTTCTCTCCCAGTTTGTTGCGTAGTTCGAAAGGTGTATATCACGGGGTTAAATGTAGTCATTTGATTAGAAGCATCCTTCTTGTTTGAATCTGATTGGCTTCTGAAATAAAAAATTAAATAGTGTTACTTTATATTAATATTTAAATTAAAATTCAGTTTTAGTTTACAAGTTCTTGGATGCCATTTTCTTTTAAAAAAATTTAGATCTGGTTATTTCAAAGTTTATTAAAAAAATTTAATTTCTGTAATTTAAAACTTTTTACTTTTAAAATATATTATTGGATAATTGATAAATTATTATAGGTACCTGCGTAACTATTAAGTATTCATAGCAACAATATATTATTATTTAGCCAGAAAAGCTGTTTGTTTAATGTTGATTTTTTAAAGAAATTACAAATTTTTAGTAGTACAATAAAATAATAAAAGAGGTAAAGAGACAGATGTTTCCACTGTAGTAGATGGGATGGTAGAATATACATAAGGTTGTTTAATATAGAAGATGATTCACTATGCGTGCTCACCCCATTTTTTTGGTTAAATTATGCGTGTATTCAAAATTCTGATTTTTGGAATTTTAAAGTTTAGTTAAAGCCGAATATTTTCGAATACTTAGATTTTTCACAACATTTAAGGAGTATTCTGTGGCGATACCAACTTTGGTTTTTCAGTTTAGAACCTATTTTCAAAATGTGTATACATTTTAATAGTTTTTATATTTTATTTGTAAAATTAGTGTTTCTTTAAGAATTAATTTATACATTTTCGGCAATAATTTTTTTTATTTAAGTGTTATATAAATGATTTAGATTTTGTTAACTTTTCTTTTTTAAAATTCTTAATTTTTAACAATTGGTTTAAATAACTATGTTTTTTTTTCTACTTACACCACAGTCTTTCGCTATAGCGAGTAGACTAATACTTTTGTTTTGTTTTTGGTGAAATTATTATTATTATTATTATTATTATTATTATTGTTATTTACAAATTAGCATATTTCCATTCAGTTTAAAACTTCATGGTGCGTTACTTTTAAAATCATTTACCATGTACCATGTATTATTATCAAAATTTTAGCGAATTCGTTAAACATATTATTTTGGTATTTCATACTACAATAGTTAGCAACATTATTTGGTGAGTTGTGTATTAATTTTTCTTTAATATGGTTATGAATTTTTCTATAAATGTTAATTAATGCATTCGTTTATATTTATTAATTTATTTTATTTTCAGCAGGCTCCCAGAAGTCTTCATGCAGCTACTGCAGGGATGTGAAGGTTACCAGTCCGACCTTTACGTCTTTAAAGGAAACAGCTGATGAAGAAGATCGATTAGCGCAGCTCGGTCCTTACAGCTTGCCTAACGCCTGAGATGCAAATCTGCCACCTTCCGCCCCGGATAACACAACAGTCAAAGCGTATGGCTATCAAACCCACGATTATCGAGTCCGTGTCTATTGAGCCTGCGACTGTCGAACATGCGACAACTAATCTGCCAAGTTAGTATAAAGAATATTGTAAAATTAAAATATGATTAATATTAGAAATACTGCCTGAATAATGATTAATAACTATTGATGTCAATATACTAATCGTAATTTTGTTTCGCCCAACACGATTAAGTTGTCGGCAAATTTAAATGTATACATAGAAATTTGCACAACATTTATTTATTTATGCACAACATAATATTGTTTGTCTCGTGCCCGCACGCAGCCGTTCGTTAACCGATGCCAGTGACCGTGCTCGTTATCAGACTGTCCACGTCCGTCGAGCTGTCGATGGACTAAACCGAATCAAACGCAGACGGACGCGGATACCGGCCAAAGGCCCCGCAGAGCGATTGCGTAATGGACATAGACAACAACGATAGGATGGACATAGACGACACCGTCGCTCGCCGGTATCTGCAGGACCGCGAATCGACGAAACATTCCGGAGAATTAAACGTGATTAACTGTTACGAGCCGGCCGAAATCGCTCAACTAATAGCCAATTACGAGGATCGTCATCCTTCGCGCCGATCCCGCCTACTCGGGCGGATCCGGAACCGGGTCCAGGCCTATTGAACTGTATGATATAAGGTAATGTATTATATAGCACGGAGTATGGAATACATAGAGAGGTCGTGCCGTGTGCTGTTATATGTAGTGAAGTGAAGCATTTAGATGGAAAACGCTTAGAGTGACCAGTTGAATAGCATCAAACCATTGTATTATTACTCAATATGATCCAATGGTAAGGAACCGTTATTATACGTTAAAAGTTTCAATACTATATCGTTATATCTTATGATATATTATAAACATTATTTGGTAATATACAAATTTAAAGTGATAACCTACCTATAAAATGTGAAAAATAATTTTATTTTTCTCAAAATGGTCACTCTAAGCGTTTTCCATTTAAATGCTTTTGTTACAGGTACGCATGGCCACCCCGTGCTCTGTAGTCTCAATGCAGATTTCGTTAAAAAAAAAATTATTCAATACGGAGACGGGTTGTTATGCAATATTGTTTTCTATTGGTATACCTATGTATTTATATAAAAACATAAGTATATTTATCCGATCTATAACGTTTCTGAAGTATTCGAAACGCACACGGATGTCAATCAAATATTTCCGATAGAAACTCACAAACAACTTAAACGATCCATTAACTTTTTATACGATGATCGCCGTTTCGATTAACACCAATTTTGTTTTCTAGATGAAGAAGATTGCAGCAGCACGGATTTCGACATACTGCCGCCGAAATTCAGGTTGAGACGTAGCGCCCGACGCGTGCTGGGGTTCTGGTCTCGACATTTTTTTTTTTGTTAAATTTGTATTTTTATATAAAATTCTAATTAGTTTATATTTTATATTTTATGTTTATGTTGATATTATAAATGTGACAGAGTAAGTCTGTCTGTTACGATTTGGAGTATCATTTGTGTGATGGCACGGCGTGCGGTGTTTTATTAGTGCTCAACTACTACTCTCCCCTTACCTAAACTTTAAAGTCGAATATCTCGTCCACGATCGAGGATAATTGATAATTTACTCCGTTCATTATTTTTTTTTCGTTAGCAATGATTTATCGTTGCTTACAGATGTACATTAAATTCCCGTCTGTTTCATACCTTCCCAACTTTCCACCTTCAACAATGGCTGCACCAATATGCGAAGTATGTCAGTCTTTTTATTTGTATGTCTGTTTGAATTATAAATTTTATGAAAATCGATCAATCATAAAACCTTACAATTGTATACGGATATTATTTGAAGTATTTACCTTACCTCGTTGAAAACACGTATCAGTTGTACTTTTAGTACCAAAATGCGCCAAAGTAACAAAAATTGTAGGTATGCTTACTGATTAATACTATTTATTAATTTTTACGATAATAAATATCGCAAAATCACGTTTTGGCTATTAATGTTAGCAATAATATTGATTTTGTTTATTGTACGCGTATTTAATCGAATAGCAGTAAATTATTTTTCTTAAATTTATTTTATTAATTGTAATTTTTAAATTTGTATTTTTCTGAACATTGTTTTATAATCATTTCTTTAAACTTCTTCAATAGTAGTTAATTAAGTTTTCTTCGTCAGTTTATAATAGTAGTGTGTTTTTGTTTTCTATCTTTTCGAAATATGTTTTTTTCCTTTATGGTTTTGTTCCCGGTTTATTTGCACGCGAACTCTTCGAGCCAAGACTGCAGGTAGCTGAGGATGACTTCAAGTAACGAGGATTTGGTAATAGATTCACTTATTATAAAGTGTAATATTATGGATTTAAGGTTAGGTTAATCGACACAGTGGATTAGGCCTACTCGGGGACACCACTATACAAAAACTATACAAAATACATCATATGCTTTTCGAATAACGTTAAAAATACTCGTAATAATATTTCATTAGTGTTTGTCGATAGCCAAGGAGGTGCGAAAAATTGCACACGGGTCTTATCCATATCTTTATTGTAATCATTCGATAACATATTTAAGGCATTATATATTTTCCTTAGTAATTATTGTTTAATATTGTATCGATTTTCCCGTTTTTTCACATTTAATGAGGAAACTCCTGAGAAAATTGAAAAATGACGTTCTTCGTTCTACTAAAAAAGTACCTCCCGAGTCCGATTTTCTTTCAGAAAAGTTGTCCGCAGATAAAAAAAAAATAAACATCTTTGTAAAACCATAACCTCGTTTACTCCACTCAGAATCTAAAATAACACACATATCAAAGTAAAACCAATTATAAAATATTACTATGTTCCTCGCGGCGCTCATAATCTAAAAACAGTCATAGTACAAATGTAAGGGGTTTCGTTAATTTCAATTCATGTATGATAATGCTGGTTGAAAAATCACTACGTGATGAACTGCATAGTCGTGTTGTCGTTATTATTATTAATTTCCGCACGAACATACATCGGATGTAATTTTAAGAAAATTATTAACACGCGCTGCAGTGAATATTATAATATAATATACGTATTTCACTGGTATATACTCTACCGAGTTGTAAAATTAGATTCCGCCTTATGAACAATGCTGATAAGTCGGTATATATGTATGCGTACTATACGATGCACTCGTATAAGTTGTGTAAATGCGTAGATTATTAATTAGACGGGAGTTTTGCACAAAGATGTATACGAATTCCGATAACTGGTTGTTTTGCTAAGTTCTAACAAATTTTAGGATAAAATGTCCTTATAAATATTCAATTTCGTGCGTTTATAATATTATATGCACGCCGTATAATAATAATATTTTTTGACGGAAATTACTTTCCGGTTATATTTTCAGTCACTGCAGTAAATAATATGAACAATTTTTGGATCTTAATGATATATAATATATATTATGTATAGTGTATACAATATACAATACAATGTAGGTGTATACAATTTGTATCATTATAACGTACAATACATGTCATGGAGAAGACTGATTTTTTTTTTTTTTTTTTGTCAATGTGATTGTATCTATGAGCGTACAAGTGTATTTAAATGTTTGACGAAAATATTCATAAAACGAGTTAAAAAATAAATCTGCTTTTCGATATTGATATATTGTTTGTTTCATAATGACAGCAACATAATTATTGCATGGAGAGTTTAATTCAAACGCAGTTTTTCACATTATTTGTATAGAATGTTTGTTTTCCACTTGAGTTAACGG